CTGAAGTGATACCAGAAAAAACCGGCATGAAGAATGTTATTTGCGTTGCGTTTTCCCCTTCCCTTCAATCCTCAAATATTAAACCTCCAAATATCGGCGGAGCACTTGTACCACCTCTGGTGTTCCAGGTGTCCATGGGCGGCGCAGATTGCTTACCATCAGGTGCTCCGTCTGGTGGTTTGCGTATCCCATAAAAATGAATAACAGACAAATAGATTGAAGTACAATGTAGGAACTACATACGAAAGTGGATAAAAAAACGTCAAGTCGCAGGTTTGTCATTGTTTAATCTGACGATAACCTTAGCCTTGCATCATTCCGCAATGATTATTATTTATGTACAATCAATATTATGTCTATAGCCACTTCAATGCGTCCAGTGCTTTCATAAATCCTATTATCAAAGTGGGAAATTGAATATTATAAAATTACAGACAGTCACTGCCAAAAGTGTACTAACACCGCAATGATCATTGTCGAATTTCGCCAGAGTCGTACAGTCAAAGGTCAAAAGTCCATTACCACCGTAAGACTACTATCGGTTGCGCTGCAGCGCTTATACCCACATGCACACGCATATTTGTATCCGTGTGCGTACGCGTGCGTGTGTTTATGCGTACGCACGCGTTTTTATGCACATTAATATGAAATTACTTACGCATTGCTGTGTGAACATCACTCACGGTGGCAGTGGACTTTGGACCTTTGACTGTACCTCCAGGCTGTGGCACCCCGACTAATGTACTTAACCAATAATCGCAGTCACATTCGCGAATATTGATGTGACATTTGCATTCTAAATTTTAAAAGCGTAACTACATAAAGGTATATTAAATAAAGGAATAATATATATTACCTATATTTCATTTATCCAAAATAACATAACATAATTTCACGCCTTTTATCCCCAATTGTGTAGGCAGAGGTGCACATTACGGTATTTAATGTCACTGTACAATGTAACACCCACTTTCCCCTATTTTACGTTATGAGTCCCATGTAATAAGGAGTGAGCCTATTGCCATATACCACATTACCAGACTCCGTGCTACTACTGAGAATTTTGAAAAACCCAGTAATACTCACCTGAACCAGGAATCAAACCCGAGATCCTTTGCCCGGCAGTCACACTTGCGACCACTCGGCCAACGAGACAGTTATCCAAAATACAATGAGTCAAAATTGGTTCAGCCCATTGCGAGATAGTCGCGGACTCACATACATACGAGTCAAAGTGAGAATCCTCTTTACGTATTTCTTTTTGAAGTCGGACCCATAGATGCTCATGCGGTCACCGGTGACCGCTCTCCACTACCTACATTATAGACCTTATTTCCACTGCTTAGAGGCTGCTTTTGTATGAACAAAGGGGAATTTATTTAGGGGATGAATTTCAACGGGTTAAAATAAATAAAACAGAACTGAAACTTTGTGCCGTAATTTTATTTAAAAAACAAAACAAAAACACGTTATTGCAGGTTGCAGGCATCACAATGAATCGAGTCAATCTCTAATTCTTATATAATTCCTAGTTTGTATATGTTTACAAATAGGAGCTTACAATTATCTACACCATATAGTCTGGAAATGAAAAAATATAACAATGCAAACTTCAGAACAACTAACCCTACTTATAACGTTAATATTCTGTTTCAAGGAAGCAAAGAAAGTATTCATTTATTGTAAAATAAAGTTTGCCTTCTGTCATCCGCTTGCAGAGTCAGGATTCAAAAAATACAGATCACTACATTCGATTACATGTAGTGCAGTACGTAATAAATTATATAAAAATACATTAGGAATGTATTCATGTAATAAATTCAATATAAAAATGTTAATAGATCATTTAAAAATATACATCTTTAGATATTCGGACTAACTAATTACGTGAGATTTGGTCAAAAGTATCGCGTTAAATTCTACTGTAAAATAAAAAGAAAATTGAAAAAATCTACAAAGAGCTTATTAATAATATTTATTTATATTTTTAATAAGTATTAAACAAGTACTCTAAATATTAAATGGACAAGATTTATTTCTATACGATTCCTAAGTCGTTTCATTTTAGTTTTATAGAATAATAGATGTCAACATTTCAGGCAATTTAAACTGTAATTCTCTACGTAAATGCTTATTAAATATTATTTATAATATATATATAATCATACTTTTAGCTCAAAGAGAAAATTAAAGCAAATTGACAGATCAAGGCATATCAGTTAAACCGAATGTTAAAGTAAAATATAAGTTAATTGAGAAAAAAATATAAGTACAGCGTTAAAGAAAACACCAACGAAACGCTATCTATGTGAACTTCATGTTAAATGAAGATTATTTTGCAAAATTTTGAAATAACTGAACATATTGCAAGTTCTAAAAGATTTTGAAAGAATCAGCCAAATACAAAATTCTCGGCCATTCCTTCACGCTATCTCACTACAGATTTTATGGCACAGCGCGTTATACAATTGAACATATGTATGTAACATATCAAAGTTCTACGTAACATAATAAAAAAAAATACAAATACAAAGAAAACTACGTTCTGATAAAAAGTTGATTCAATCTTCGTTTACATATATCTATAAAACCGGTGAATGAAAAAGATAAAGAACTACATAATTGATAAAATCAAACCTCTGTAAAAATAAAGTATTATAATTATAATATAATAACATTTTTCGAGAAACATTTAAACTTTACAATAGTTTTAACATAATTATTCTTCAAACTATCAATTCACATACTTAAATATAATATTCCAAAAAGGATTTATTCACTGCAGAATTTAGGAAACATACTTTAAATTCCGCTTCAGAGAATAACAGTCACTATTCCTATTAAATAATTGAGATTAAAATAGCGTACACAGTGAAGAACATTTTTCTGCAATAGAAAAATATTGCTTGCTTTTTATGTATCATCCGATTTCCAGGTCAGTTTTACAATCACATTCGGATTTCATGTCAATTGTTGTATTTCGATATCCATAGAGATTAAATATAACATTTTGGCATATTTATTGAGCTTGTAATACATTTCTGCCTCTCCCTTTATGCCTGTTAATTTAACACTTACGCAAAGTTGTTAAAAAGTCAGTATTCAATAATTTGCGCAAACTAAACACCATTGCGCAAATTTTTGCGCAAAATGCAGTTTATTGACGAGAATAATAAAAACATCAGTACAAAAACTGACTTTTAAACTTTTGAAAACTTAAAGTTACGTAATAATATAAATATAACAAACAACTATCACTTCAACTTACATTATCGACCAGACGGATAAATAATTCAGGTCTCCACAAAGATTATTCTTTTATATTGATGTTTTGAGCCAAATAAAGAAGCTAAATTTATAACTATTTTATATTCGTTCAACTACATCGGTTACTTTTGAATATTCATATTAGTAAGTATTTGAATCTCGAGTCCGTGCATCCGTGAATTGATTTTTAAATAATAAACAAATTCTTCTCATATACAATTGGAAGATCGCTGTACGTTATCATTAAAATGCGAATAAATTTGAAACACAAGTTATCAAAACGTCACTAAAGCCAGTTCATACCTTAATATATTATCTTGGTTTAAAAAAAAATAGAACTATTTCATAGGTAACTTGATTCAACTGTTTTGCAAGATTAAACTTTTTAACTGAGGCAGCAAAATATCTATGTATAATACGCAAAGCAAGAATTAATCTAAATGAGAGAGAAATATAATTGGAGAAATATAATTCGAAAGGAAGACTACACTCGAATATAATTAAAAAAAAATTAAGGGTCTAAAAGAATGAAAGAAAAAACATATTATGAAAGCCAGAAAGAGACATAACATACAAAATTCGACCCCCCCCCCCTCTTTTATTTTAAATAGACTGTTTAGTTGTGATTTCACTATAAACAAAACCTCTAACTTCTTCTTTAAGTTATTGTTACACAAGCTAACTTCAACCACGAAAACATGTTTCAATTGAGCACTTGTCACGTTCTAGCATGTCGGAATGTTGCTCAAAATTAGCATGCTTATTTCAGGCATGGTTGCGAATCGATTGACGTTTGATTTATCAACATGCTCAATAGAAATTTAGCATGCTATCGTAAAGCATGTGTTACAAACAGTACCTTTAACTATGAAAACATTCATTCGAAAGAAAAAAGATGAAATAAAACGTTTAACATTAATTTATCTAGAAAAAACAGTTTTAATATCACCTCAGATTACACTGATACGCAAACAGAATTACGTATTTTGTTTAATGTACAAAACCAAGGTACCTAATGTAAATACACAAGACAATGATTGTACAAAATCGCACAATAGATATAAAATTTAATTTCGCAAGTTTATATTTATTTAACATTTTAACAGCAACAATTAGATTAATATGGATATAATAACTTTTTCTTAAAATCGAGCCCACCTCACAGTGGAATTTTCTCATATAGTACTGCAGTATTCCACGATCCTACCTACATTAGCTATTCGAATATCATAACAAGATATGTTTGATTTTATTTACACTACTTTATGATAGTCAAAATAATTTACGTATTAACCACTGTAATGCAATTAAGACACTATAGAAAATATATTGTGTCTCGCGTAGATCGGCATTATAGATACACGAAAGATTATTATTTATAATGCAAGTACAAGTTCAGATGACCTATCAGGTTACCCGGCTCCAATTATAACGTGAACGCACAAACAGCTCGGGGTAGGAACGGCATGGTGCTTAGTCTTTAGACTAGCTTAGTAGAAGCTATTGGATAATTTTCCTCTTTCAAATATGTAGGAATATAATTATTATGTTTTCGGCTTACTCACATAGATTTTTGACGAGAAACTCCACTAGTTTCAAGCCGTGCTAGAGGCTTATGAGCTCAGAGGCTGCTGTTGGCAGCGCGACAGTCGCCACGTCGCGGGTCGCGGAATGCTGCTCATGAATATGAGCCTCTAGCATGGCTTGAAACTGGTCGCATTCTTCGTCAAACAGTTACGCAAGAAGTCGAAAACATAATAATTAATTTAGTATGTCTCACAAACGGAACATAATTATTGTTTTATATAATGACGTGGTGTAGGTTAGGTGTACATTTTTACGTGTGACAAATTACCATTTTAGAACAAAATTTAGAATAGATCATTTATTATTTCTTATTAAGATTATTAAAGGTTTTTCTTTAGTGTCTCAAGTAATTATAAAAACCTACAATAAGTCACATGAATGTCTCGCCTGTCAAAGAATCAGTAATGAAAAATATTTAATTATTTTAATTTACTTATATTCATATTATCACGATAGAGCAGAACAGTAGATGCACATTTATTTGTTATGTGTATAGTAAAATGTGTGTAAAGGATACATTTAAACAGGACAAAATGTCAATTGTCAACTTGTTATTTTCGGTCATTTTTAGTTAATTAGAATTCACGTAAAGTGATATTTTTTATTTAGGTATTGAAATACTGGAATGACCGCGCATAAGATAATAATATCTCGCAAACGTCGAAGGTTTTTTTTTAATTATATGTACTGCCCAAGCAAGTACAAACGTCGTAAACATCTCGCTGCCGGCGCTACTGCGTCTGTTGCGAGCGTTTCGCCGTGTTAAAGACCACGTCTTTGTGTAAGGTACAAAAACTATTCACGTTTTTTCATCTTTCATAACGTTTCTGAAATTAATTCGCGTACAGGTCAGCCTGTTATAGTGTACCTTATGCCCTGTATATTATTATTATTTTATATCTCCTTTGTATCGACATCAGTCTGTCAGAAGAAATCTAAAGCCATCAAGAAATGTCAAAGAATAATTATAATAATACTAATTACACAACTTTGACATTTATTTTAAAATTTGTTCTATGTTTCTATGTAAAAAAACATTTATTATCATTCCTTAATGATTGTGTAGCGTCAAGTTTCTTGGAGGTGCATGTTTTAGGTTTGACACCCGTGTTGGGTCGTAATTAATATATAATTATATATCTACACGTATTTATGTATAACGTCAATGGTTTAGTACGTTCATTTATATTTTAAAATTTTATATGTTAAAATACGGTCACCCGGGAGCGAATTTTGAACATATTTCTATGGACAAGAAATATATGTGTTTACGAATATATATGTGTTCTGTAATCCAAACCTTATAACAAATGACTTGAGTCTTAAATTGTCATACATGTATAATACGTGGGTATTGGCACGGGTAAGTATTGGCGTGCTGTTTACGGTGGTAAGTTCATCTGCAAATTCTGTAAATACGCCGAGGTTGAGTTTAGTAAGCCTATACGTTGCTTCTGCTTGCGTTGCTCCGTCATCTGTAGACAAAATTTAATAATAATTAATATTAATAAACATGTTATTATGACCGAAATAAGTAACGAGTAATTTGTGATATTCTGACGTCTTACTTCGAGTTAGTTTTACGTTTAAAGTCGTTGAATAGAGCATGCGTTCGGCGCTTTGATTGGCCGGCTTCAATAAACCAACCAATCAGAACGCAGTCTCGGATCGATTACTTTAAACTTACCAACAAAACTATGTAACTAGAGAATTTTATTGTGAACCTGATTGGAAAAGAATAACCTATGGAGGTACGTTTCTACCTGGTCCCGTAGGTCGGTGAGTGTATGGAGATGTGTGTATAGTGCGAGTACCTGGTCCTGTAGGACGGTGAGTGTATGGGGGTGTGGGTATGGTGTGAGTACCTGGTCCCGTAGGACGGTGAGTGTATGGGGGTGTGGGTATGGTGTGAGTACCTGGTCCCGTAGAACGGTGAGTGTATGGGGGTGTGGGTATGGTGTGAGTACCTGGTCCCGCAGGTCGGTGAGTAGGTCGGTGAGAGTATGTACAGCTTGCTGCGCGCGGTCGAGCTGTGCTTGCAGCGCGCGCAGCTCCAGCTCGCCTCCCTCCCCCTCGCCACCCCCCATCAGTGACAGAGCGCGGAGTCGTGGAAACCAGTCTAAATTACTTGTCTGTGGACAAAATCAATTACATTTAGAAGAAATACAAAATAATAGCCATGATTCGAGATCCCAAGTATTGTTATAAGTAGACATAGTCTATTATGTTTGTCGTAACCACAATGTAAATGATTCTCACTAATAGATACTGTCTAATAGTTCATGAATTGACCAAAGCATTGAATGTTACATAATTTTGTATGTCTATGAATAAGTGTCGTGGTGGGACAGAGGTTTAAGACGCCCGCTTCTCATGCATGACTGCTTAACCGACTTCAGAAAAAAAGAGGGGTTGAAGTCGGTTTTTTTAAACGTAGTTTATATAATAATTATTATTTTGCAAGTTGACGACGATGAATAAAATGGGGTTGTATAATGTAAATGTATGTATGTTACCTTTATCATAGAATGCACGTAACTCTCGGGGCCGGTGAATTCCGTAGGGTCTTTGACCCGGACCAGCACCATGAAGTAGAGGTAGTGCCACATATTGTGTTCGCTCTTTATGTGCTCCTCGAATGAGACTGTCTTGTTGTCAAAGGCTGACCTGTTCAAACCTGTTTAAAGTTGTTTTTTTTTATAAATTTTAAATGTGGAAGAGCCATGCGTCGGTCGTCACGAATGGGCCGGCTGGGTCGGAGTGATACCACGGCCTCATAGAAAACCGACGTGAAGCAATGCTTGCGTTGTGTTTTGTCGTGTAAGTAAGGTTACCTGAGGCCCAGCACCCTCCCCCCTTCCCCAATCTCCCCGATACCCGAATCCCCGACAATCCTCAAACTCCTAAAGGTCTAAAGGCCGGTAAAGCACTTGTAATGCTTCTGGTGTTCCAGGTGTCCATGGGCGACGCCGATTGCTTACCATCAGGTGATCCGTCTGCTCGTTTACGGCAAATGCCATAAAAAAATAATAATAATAAAAATAAAAACACGTTGCCTCAATATTTTCTTCCGTTTTCGGTTCGTTTAGTTTTAATGATTATTTATACACTCATAAAGTTCATAAACAACATGGTTCGTTTACATTGACTTATTATAACTCAATAAACAGTTACATACTAATTCACATAATAATATCAAAATTCAAAACAACAATTTTTATACTACACCAGCTACTTCTGCGCGATTTCACACGTTCTGCTCGCACGCGTACGCATAGACACACGCACGCGTACGCACACGGATACAAATATGCGTGTGTGTGTGCGTATGGACTTGACTGACTTGACAGTGGCAGTGGACTTTTGATCTTTGACTATACATTCATATACATGTAGTAAAAAAGCGGTTAGTTCAATATTATAAACAGACACCCCAATTATATTTATCTGTATATATAGATAATACATTAAATGTGCCGGTTGCTTACCATTAGGTGACATGGCTGCTCGTATACCGGTTCATATAATAAAAAAACGACTAACCGCAAATAAAACAGGTGTTTTTCAAAATATGTTCCTTCTGTTGCTTCTCACTCCTGAGGTCTGCGAAGGTGTCAATGATGACACCGAAGATGAGGTTCAGGACGATGATGATGACCACAAAGAAGAATAGCAGGTCGTAGACCACACGCGCTACGAACAGTGGCTCCTGTACAGTACATGGGGGAATAAAGGTACTGTTACACATCTAATTTCAAGCACGAAATCGTTCTTAAAATGAGCACTTGTCACTTTGTATCATGTGTGTCGGAATGTTAATAAAAAATTTGTAAGCTCATTTCTGACATTTTTGCGAACCGTTATGACTCAGCAGTGGGCACTATATACTATAGGCCGTTGATGTGATCGTAACGGCTGATCAAGAGAGAAAGGAACAGAAGAAAAGATATTCGAGGGCAGAGATGGAAGAAGAAAAGTTCGTTACTAACGAAGCTAGCGGGCGCGCGCAAGATGTCTCCGATGCCGCCGCCGTTGCGCAGCCCCTGGTTGAGCGTGGTGACAATGCACATGATGAGCGAGTCACAGCTCCGCTCACGCAGCTCGCCGCCCACCGACACTAGCCGCGCCGCGCGCCACTGCTCGCCCGCCGCGTAGCGCGCGCCGCCCGCGCCGCCCGCGCCGCCCTCGCAGCCGTCCGGCTCGAAGCGGGGGTCGTCATCGTCTGTGTCACATCATACGTCGATCGTTAATTACATTCATTTCTGTGAGTAGCCCACCGACTGTCTATTGATCTACTCTGAGACCCAAGAACCACTCGAAAAACAGTCGAAGGCTTGTTTATCGAGTACTTCCTACGAAGGTATTGTTTTTTGTATGTATTTGAGAATTTAATTCTTTATAAGCTCATTTCTTCTAAACAACTCAACCGATTTTAACATTAATATGATATATCGTTAGATCATCATCATTATAGCAGCCATCTATATCGTTAGATTCGTCTTGGTAACCCAAGTGTCGCTACAGCATACGAGTAAAATAATTTTTTTGTACACACATTAAGACTAAAAATCGCTTACCGTCCAGCCTGTCGACAGCGACAAGGAAATGGTCTCTGAAGAACACGTAGCCTACGATGGAGAACATATAGACAAGGACAAGCGCCAGCACGGCCGTCAGTAAGATGGACCGGCCGTTGCGAGTCACAGATCGCATCACGTTTAGGAGAGTCTCTTCGCGGTAAACTATGTCCAGCAGCTGCGGACAAAGCATTTGGGATAGATACAGGTACTGCGGTATAATAACTAGATAAGTATTCGTAGTTTACTCCAATTGGGTATAGTCCTTAATCAAAAATAAATTATTTCGATTGATTTTATGACCAACTTAAATTTAGTACCTATTTTTCAGCATTTTTTTAAGAAATAAGTATGCTGTTTGACGTCACAATACACAATCTCGTACAAAATTCATAATAAACTGTAGTTTTTGACAGTTCGAAAAAAGTATTGAATTTGACTAGTTGGCAAATACCCAATTGTGAGGTGAACTCAAAGGTGACTACGACTGACGACTATGAACTCACCAGAACAGAAAAGAAGAATGGGTGCCAACAAATTCCGCAGAAGCAGAAGACAAGGTATACGCTGTGGTACAGCAGTTCAGGGTCTGTTAGCACCTTCCCTGGTGATTTAGATAGTGTACCCTGGTTGCCCATAATACTCACCAAGTGGATACCTTTCACCACTATCTGAAAATCCATTAAAAAAGGATTAAAGCACAAAAGACGTCCCAGAGCCACGAAAATCCCTAAAAAAAATTTTCCAAAATACACCAATAATATGAATGATGACAGAGTATGAAAATTAAAAAATGTAATTAGTCCATCAGTTAGGTAACAAAAAAAATATTACACTTTTTTTAATTTTATCGTATAATGTTACAATACTTAGATAAAACGAATCAAAGTTTAGGTATGGGAGCTAAAACGTCGTTTCTACGTATAAAACGTCTCTAGAGGTGATGTCACGCGATATTTCAAATCAAGATATCGTCGAAAGTATTTGTTACGGTAAGAAAATAAAAAATATGGATAAACTTACACTATATAAATATGTACATGTCAAATATCTTCAGTGTGTGAAATAAAGTTTTTTCTCTGTGAAATGGGGGGTGTTAACGGAACAGTCCCGAAAACCACCGACAGGTGATGGTAAAATATAAGTTTCATTGTAATAAAAGTGTAAGGAATTAAAAGTTTTCTTTATGTAATAACAGTTGTAATCAACTGATCAAAGCTGGTGTTACATGAATAACATGGAAAAAATAAAATAAAATTGTAAAAACAATATATTTTTGTCAGCGTTTCGAGAGCATTCCGTTTAAACCGTTTATGAAGTGAACTTTTTTTTATTTAATGGGGGAAAAAAGGTATGAAGTGGACTACGTTTGTAAGATGGCTTTGACTGCCAATAGAAAACTGTTAAAGGCAAATCCTCCGCTAACGTCGGTCACCGGTGACCCCCATGGCATTAAATGTGTTAAAGAGGGTTTTATATAGTTTATCATGGAGAGGTATAGTTACAGTGAGCATAGCGAGCATCCAGAGCGTGGGCTCCGGTCCCGCCGAGTACATGAAGCGCACGGCGGCGCTGGCGATGAGGGCGCGCGCCCCGCCGCCGCGCGGCAGCCACGTCACCAGCGCGCCCGCCACGCCCGACACCACCCACACCACCAGCGACAGGTGCTGGCCCAGCTCTGGGGGGGGACGTCATTAACTAAGTAACTTTTATGCCAAAACCAACATATGTGGTTGCCCGTCAAACGGTTAAGTGACAAAGTCGTTAAACATGATTAACGATTACTGTTATTAAAAATACATAACGTCACGCCTGTCTTCCATGGGGATAGGCAGACTATGGAATGCAAATTGCTAAGATTCTTACATTCCTCTTTCGCATCATAAACACAGTTTTAAACACAGTCTGATATCTAATTAAAGTTATTTTTCAACCAGGTTTTTTTTGCATAACAAATTAAAATATATTTCGAAACCGCGCCCTCATGTATGAGAAGCAGGCCCCCCATCCTCCGGGCGACAACGAAAACAAATAAAAGTAATTAATATATGAGATAACTTACTTGGTGTATCTTCTTGAAACGGATAGAAAAAAGCGACTATGACGTTGATCAGAACCGCGAAGTTAAACAGTATGTTGCTCCACAGAGACATGTAGGATGAAACCCAGAAAAGGAATCTCTGCCCTGTAAATAAAACAACACATCTTTATACATACAATTATTCTGTGAGTGTGTATGTCACTGAACTTCTCTCAAACGACTGGACCGATTTTGATGAATTTTTTATGTGTTCAAAGGGATCTGGGAATGGTTTAAATTCACAAATCAGCCCGGCAGATGGCGCTGCAGTCGATGTTTAGGTTAACAGCTGAACTAATTTGAATGAATTTTTGTTTATACATTCAAGTGGATATGCAGGACAACGTTTGTTGTGGGTCCGCTAGTGATATTATAAATTAGCTTACTTATCAAAGTACAGGCGCCTAAGACCTTTTTTCTGCGGAGGAGAAATAATAAAATGACTCCTCACGCTTTGGGCTGACTAAAAACTACCCCGTTCCTACTGCTGTTCCAAGTTACAGCCCCGGTAGCGCGCAAGGATCTCCGTGACCCCGTCGGGCACCTGTGGCGGTCTGATGACTCTTTCAGGTGCGTGCGTGGTTTTGGTCGGGCGGCGAGCTACCCATGCTCAACGTCCGCAGGCCCGTGCATACGGTTGCCGGCGATCGTCTCGCAATCACCGACGCCCAGAGTGTCTCCTACGACGAGTGGGGCGTGAGGTTCGTTCCCCACGCCTCCTCATTAGCTGACATGACTGCTTCGCAAGAGGAGAAAAAACTCTCTTTAACAGAAAAACAACTCTATTCTAACTTCTAACACTGTGCTATTACTGAAAATATTAAACATAAAACGAAAAATCTATCAGTATGAGAATTGTATTCTCAAATAGAATATCGTGGCAGTCCACTGCTGGAGTATGTGTCTTCTCTACATAAGAAGTTTCGCCATAATCTCAAACAGGTAGGAGTAATAAATACGAACTACACTTTACACTTACCTCTAAGTTTCTTCTGCCATTTCATCTCGTGGAATAGGTTATCAAGCCTTGAGAAGAAGTCAGCGACCTTGCTACCCTGGTCATCCCGCTCGGCACTCTGCAAGACGCGATGTTTACTATCCGCCGGTAGATACTCACATATTTCCGGGATGGGAAATACTATCTGTTCCATACTGCGATCCGTACGGACTATCTGTGGAATGGAAAACTAATTAACGAATGACATCACATTACACATCCTCGTCCGGCGCTTTGATTGGTTGGTTCATTGGAGCCGGCCAATCAGAGCGCCGGACGAGGTTTCGTTTAGATTACTTGAAACGTAAAACAAACGTATTAAGGCCTCTGAGCAAAGACCTCTGCTGACACGGCAAAGGAATGAGCATTAATTTCTAATTATAAATAATTAGAAATTATAAGTCCAGGTTTTCTCACGATCTAAGGAGGAGGCGGAGCGCGTGAGGGAACGAACCTCCTCACGACCCGGCCGTCGCGAGAGACACTCCGGGCGTCGGGGATCGCGAGACGATCTCCGGCCACCGTAAGCACGGGCCTGCGGACGGCGAGCACGGGTGACTCGCCGCCCGACCAGAACCAGGCCCGAGCGAACGGCGCGTCGCGTTCCGCGCGCGCCTCAAAGAGCCATCAGACCACCACAGATGGGGCCTAACAGGGCTGATGCCGATACGGAGCCGCGGAAGACTTAACGGGTTGCCGGGGCTCCGGCTCGAAGTGTAGGAACGGGGTGGTTTTTAGTCAGTAAGAGTCTGACACTCCCTCCCGCCTCACCAGGGCGGGAGAAGTAATTGGATGATTTTCCCCCCTCAAAAAAAAAAAAAAAAGGTTTTCTCACGATGTTTACCTTCACTATTATGTCAGTGGTATCTAAGTAATCTTAGAAACTCCGTATAACTCGGGAAATGACACATTCTTAAATATTGGTACTTGCCAGGTTCTGAACTGTCATGTACAAGAAATTCAAACTACTTTTATAATATTACTAGCTACTTCCGCGCGGTTTCACACGCTCTGCTCAGCTCCTGTTGGTCGTAGCGTGATGTTTTATAGCCTATAGCCATCCTCGATAAATGCACTATCCAACACAAAAATAATTATTTAAATCAGACTTGTAGTTACGGAGATTAGCGCGTTCAGACAAACAAACAATAAAACAAACTGTTCCGCTTTATATAATAGTATGAGATATAGTAGGTAACAGTTACTTCAATCTGCGCGGTGTGCGTCCTGTAGTACCGCAGCGCGTCCGCGTTGGAGCCGTGCGGGGAAGCTCGCACAAGCGCCGCCAGCTCCTTGTTGTGGGCCGCGAGCTGGTGGCACAGGATGTAGATGTTGTGCCCCACCTAACGCAACATTCCGAGATATAGGTACCACTTAAACCGTACAATACTTTTTTAGTGTTTCTATGTTTTTCGACTTACTCATGTAACTGTTTGACGAGGAACTGGTGAACGAGTCCAACGCGACGCCGTCACCGCAGATATAAGAAAGTGCGCGTGAGATCGGGCAGAGGGCGCTGGCCGTGTGAACTCGAGTAACTTACTAGCTACGTTAACGCGACAGTAGCCACGTCGTGTAGACTTTTATTCACGAGTGAACGATAATGGCTCGAAACTAGTCAAGCTCCTGGTCAAACAGGTATGAAGTGGAAGCCTTTACTTTAAGCCGAAAAATGCAGTAAATAATGGTGTCCCTGATAACACAAAACTGCATCCAAATGTGTTTTATTTGCCAAATTTATGAAGTTAAGTAGATAAACATATGAATAAAAGTAATTTAACTAAACAACGTTAACAGCCAGGACCTATTGGTCCTGGTATGGTATCTGACTAAAATATTCTCGTCTCACATGGTCTCGAGTGTTACAGTTGTTTTAATTAAATTACTTGTAATTTAATTTATTTCTTTTACTTTAAACTTTTTAGTTCGAATTAAGTTAACTTTATTACCACTTCAAAGAGTAAACGGACAATATTATCAATATTACGTTATAATCAGTCATTTTTATTCTCTATAAGACAGACAGTCAACCGTACTAAACGTATTTGTAATTGAAAACGAAGTCGTGACATGGATCGGAAAAAGAAGTGTGCACTTCTGTTATTGCTTAGGAGATACAGAAAAAAGAAACAAAGAAGATTTTGGGAAGATAAGACTCTGATGCGCGATGCGAATCAGTTCATGCAAGTTCTTGCGATGCGTAGAAGGAGCTCGCACATTTTTGCGATGCGACGTCGCATCGCAGTCTTGTGTACGAGCCCTTAATACCTAAATACATACAAGAGGTTCATTGAGTTAAATAACATAACATCACGCCTTTTATCCCCGAAGGGGTAGGCAGAGGTGCACATTATGCCACCGTACAATGTAACACCCACTTTTCACTATTTATGCTATGAGTCCCATGTAATAGGGGGTGAGCCTATTGCCATAAACCGGGCACAATTCCAGACTCCGTGCTAAAACTGAGAATTTTTTAAAAATCCAGTAATACTTTGCCCGACTCGGGAATCGAACCCGAGACCCCTTGCCCGGCAGTCGCACTTGCGACCAATCGGCCAACGAGGCAGTTAAATAATTATAAGTAAAATTAAGTACTTCTTTAGGAGATACTCCTTGAACGATGGCATCGTCTTCAGAATCCGAGTCAGCGTCCATTGCGTGCTCCTGATGAAACGCGGAGCAAGCAACATCCACCTGTGACACAAATTAATAGATTTACTACACATTATTATAGTATATTTTAACCGACTTCAAAAAGAAAGGGAGGTTCACAGTTTGACCTGTATGTATGTTTATTTATTTATATATGCTTTATTGTACACATTTAAGTAGCTTAAAACAAACAATTCAAGTAAATATGCGTACAATGGGCGGTCTTATCACACAATGGTGATTCCTTCCATTGTGTGATATTGTGTGACGCTTAACGAATGCGATAGTTATTCGTGCTTGGCACTCTGTAGCGAACAGAGGCCTTAGTACGAGTTCGATTTACGTTAAAAGTATTCGAAACGAGTACGCGTTCGGCGCTCTGATTGGCTGGCGCCAATGAACCAACCAATCACAGCGGCGGACGCGTACTCGTACTTTAAACATAAAACAAACTTGTACTAAGGCCTGAATTACTTGGCGTACTCACCAATTGCTTGGGGTTCATATTATAGAGTATACGTTCAGCGTTATTCTCTGAATCGTTTCGCGACTCCATAATGGCCAGGAGCAGCTTAGAGGCGTTGTTCTTCAGCTCTAAGACTAGATCCATACGTGTCTTGCCGAGCGGGTTGATATCATTCAGAATTAATGCAGTTATTATGTCTAGACCGTTACTCTCGTGCGTCGCTATACAGTTCTGGTTCTCGTGGCATGGACCTGGAACAGTTAAATATTTAAGTTTGTACACACGGCCACAGATTAATCTATACAAAACCAGTTTATCCTGGTGTCGCGTCGCATCATCTTTCCACACATTTAACGTTCAGTTTATACTGGTTATGTAAATCTCGATGTGTAGCCGTGTGTACTAGGTACTCCCGGTTTGGTGCATCGTGCTGGTTTCGAATGAATGATTTACGCTATTTCCTCATTAATTGACTCGAAATCGTTTTAACATATAGAAAACTAAATTGAAAGAAAGAGGGAAAGAAAATACATTTATTTGGTATCAGCATAATTATCGTATGGCCAAGACATAAAAAAACGCGGTTTATTTATAACTGAACATAAAGATTCAAAATGAAATGTAAACAAAACGAACAAAAAAAGAGAACAAAATTGCTATAACTAAAAATTGCTTACCTTGGCAGTATTCAGTGAGTGTCTCTAAGGTCTGGTTGATGAGAGCCACGTTACCCTCATTGATGTACAGACCCAGCAGCCCTAGGCCTCCAGTGGTGGATCCACAGATACAGTCCAGGAACATTAGCGTCTCCGACACGAGATTGTAGTTCGACTTATTGTTTTGATTCCGTAGTAAGTTCTGAAAATATTTGAGAGAAAGTATCGTTACTTTCGTACTCAGACAGACATGCATAATTAATTTATTATACTGGCTCTGTCTGGTCTGTTAATCGTTGCATATGTTTCATAGAAGGCTAGGCAAGTGCCTACTTCGATAAATGAACAGAAAGAAATTTCCACAAAAATAAATTTTCAGTTCGAACCGTTAGTTACAGAGGTTCAAGCCATACATTTCAATAACAGGGTAGTTACCTAGGACAAAAATAAATTAATTTGACCCTTCACCACATAACATAACATCACGTCTATTATCCTCGGAGGGGTAGGCAGAGGTGCACATTACGGCACTTAAATGCCACTGTATAATG